TCTCACTCTCCTCTACAAAACCCTTGTTTAGTTTTCCATTTTTAAGCTTGGTTACCTTGAATTATAGAGATACAATTCTCTATTGAGGTAGGGGGTGTTCTAGTTTATTATCTAAGTGAATTAATTGCTTTTAAAGTGATATATAAGTTGTATGCATGTCTTATACCAATTTGAGAAATTAATGGTTAATTGTAACATGCATATAACTCACATTAGACTTGATATATGGCATAGCCATGACTTGAACCTTGATATATATTAATTTGGCATGATTTAAATGAGCTTTCAAATCTAGAGATTTAAGTAAATTAAATTGATTTTAATTCTACTTATTTGTATTATGCTTGTATTCCATTTTGGACTTGATTTATGGCATGGCCATAACTTACTCCTTGTTATATATTTAATTAGAACCATTTGAACAACTCTTGAAATCTTAAGAAATTAACTAGTTAGTTTACTTAATTTCTATTTTATTGATCTAATGGTTTAATCATGTAATTCAGAGCTTTATTGTGTTTTTATCACATATCATGAATTGTTGCTTAACTTGTTGATTTTGGAAACTTGGGATATCATCAAGAACTTGACTTGGCTAGGACTTGGTTCTAGTATGGGAGATAGAGAGCTCCCTACACTATAGTGCGCACTAGGGGAAGGTACCCATGGGTTAATAGCCCTAAAATGATCTCAAGAGTATGGTTTTAGTCTGGGTGATATCCAAGTATCCACTTTGGTTTGATTTCACTCTTTAAATTCTAAGTTGATAACTTTGTGAAATCGCATCTCATTGTGCTATGTTGAAAGTTCCAATGTCATTTTAATAGTATGGATTAAATTATATTGAATTGCAAACTTTGTAGTAAGTTAGACTTATACATGCTCATTCCCTACGAGTAAACTTATTTACTCACCCCAAAGTTACCGGGTTATTTTTTAGGTAAAGAAGCATTATTGTGGGATGCACAACACTCTTAGACTTGCTAGATTTCTTGGAGTATTTTTTGTGATATTGAATATGCATTTGTTAGCATATCATACTCCTTTTTGGTTTATTGTATCAAGACATGTACATATTGTTCAAGCTATGTAATGTACACTCAAGTGCACCTTTTGTTACCTTATGGAGGTGTATGTAATGAGGCCAAGGGCCAAAGACATTTTATATGACATATATGTTTTATATCTTCATGGTTGCTTATGGAATATATGGGATTTCATGCATTGAATGGTCATATTTTGCATATGACATGACATGAGGCGTAGGCCATTGTAGCGCGTTTACTTTATCATTTTACATATGCGTGCATGATTACATCTCTCAAAATACATAGATTTCAACTTTTAAACTATTTTTGGAGGATTTATGAGATTTTCATACAAATTTCATGCAAGAGAGCATGTTCCAAGTTTCTTTTTGATTTAGCATGTTATGGATGTCCGTATAAGGCTAAAAGATGTATTGAAACTTATCCGGATCATTTGCATTACATATGGGACCTTAGGAACGGACTGAGCACCTCTCCCATGCTCTGTAGCAGCTTTTTCTATTGCAGTAGGGTGCATCAGCCGGCTGATAACAGATATCGGCCGGTTGACACATATCGAGTTTGCATTCATTACAACAAATTTGGTCTTTGGCGATAAAAACTATAGCGACAAGATGAATTTGTCGCAATAAAATGACCTTTTGTGACAAAAAGTAACTTTGTCGCCTTAAGCTAACTTTACTCGACAAAAACCAAATTTCTCATAAAAAGTTATCGCAATATCCACCCAGGAATTTCCTTACGCCCTGCTATATGGCTGGAAAGGGTATGGCGACAAAATTGATTTTTGTGACAAATATATTGTCATAACTAATTACAATATTGTGACAAATATAGCTTTGTCACGATTAACTAGCTTTTAGTGACAAATATAGCTTTGTCACAATTAGTGGCATTTTAATGACAAAAATTGTTGTCACTACAAACAACCTTCTAGTGACAAATGATGCATTGTCACAAAAGGTGGAGTTATTGTGACAAATATAGCTTTGTCACAATTTATGGCATTTTAACGACAAAAATTGTTGTCGTTACAAACAACCTTCTAGTGACAAATGGTACATTGTCGCAAAAGGTAGGGTTATTGTGACAAATATAGCTTTGTCACAATTTATGGCATTTTAACGACAAAAATTGTTGTTGCTACAAACAACCTTCTAGTGACAAATGGTGCATTGTCGCAAAAAGTTGAGTTATTGTGACAAATATAGCTTTGTCACAATTGGTGGCATTTTAACGACAAAAATTATTGTCGCTACAAACAACCTTCTAGTGACAAATGATGCATTATCGCAAAAGGATAAGTTATTGTGACAAATATAGCTTTGTCACAATTGGTGGCATTTTAACAACAAAAATTGTTGTCGCTACAAACAACCTTCTAGTGACAAATGATGCATTGTCGCAAAATGTTGAGTTATTGTGACAAATATAGCTTTGTCACAATTGGTGGCATTTTAACGACAAAAATTACTGTCGCTACAAACAACCTTCTAGTGACAAATGATGCATTGTCGCAAAAGGTGGAGTTATTGTGACAAATATTGCTTTGTCACAATTGATGGCATTTTAACAACAAAAATTGTTGTCACTACAAACAACCTTCTAGTGACAAATGATCCATTGTCGCAAAAGGTTGAGTTATTGTGACAAATATAGCTTTGTCACACAATTGGTGGCATTTTAACGACAAAAATTGTTGTCGCTACAAACAACCTTCTAATGACAAATGATACATTGTTGCAAAAGATTGAGTTATTGTGACAAAACTCACTTTGTCACAATTAATAGACTTTTTATGACAAATTATTTGTCACCTATTTCTATCTTTTAGCGACAAAAGATATTTCGTCACAAAAGAATAAATTCTTGTCACAAATTAGCCTTCTGTCACCATTTACTTGTTTGGAAAATAATAAGAAAAATTAAAACTTATCATAAGGTATGTTTAAAATATATAAAAGTGTGTGTATATATATAAATATATGATAAAGTGCAAAAAATTCTCTGAACTATGCTTGAATTTGCAAATAACCCCCTTAAATTATATTTTGTACCTAATACTACCTATTGCCAAAAATGCCCCAATGTTCTAATAATAAGTTAATCATTTTATAAAATGGTAGTTATAAATATATTTTTTAATAATAAATTAATTCTAATAATAAAGTTAAGGGGTAATTTATATAATTCATATTTAAATTTAAATAAGAGAATATATATATATATATATATATATATATATATATATATATATTCAATTTGTTCAAGGTTTGAGGCCCTTTAAGATCAAAGTCGACCGAATCGAACAGTTAAGTTATATATATGTATATGTATCAAATTATACATATAGTATGGAGTAATATAATTCTATAGTGGCTAAATATTGTAAAATGAATTAGAAGTTCTGAATATATTAACACTTTTGAATGTCTTAACTTATAATGTTCTAGAAGTGAATATATTAGCAGTTGTGAATGTGTTGATTAACTTGGTTTATTGTTGTGCATTTGAATTTTAAAATATGCATGAATATTTCTATAATAGGAAAAATAAATAAATAAATAAAAGAGAAACTGTGGAATCGAACTGAACTGAACCTTGTTTCACAGTTTGATTCGGTTTGGTTCCTTTGGTCAAATGGTTTAGTTTGATTCTAAATTTTTTAAAACCGTTAGAAATGGTTTGGTTCCAAAAAACTCTCAAAACGGTCCAAACCGAAACGTATACACCCCTAATTGGATTTGTTTTTAGGAATATCCTAAAAGTAAAATAAATAAATAAATAAATAATAAATAAATAAATAAACATTTCCTTGAGAGAACTGTCTTTAATTGTTCTCTAAATTATTGAGAACTGTTTTTAGAATTACAAACTAAGCAAGCTCTATGGGTCTGCTTGGTTTGTAACTCTGAGAACAGTTTTCTGTTTTCAGAAAATTGAAAACAGAAAATTATACAAAAAATTCTACTTCAGAAAATTTAAAACAGAAAATTGTACAAAAAATTCTGCTCGGTTACGTATTCTGAGAACCGTTTTTTGAAAACTCAGTTATAAAATACTTGTTTTCAAATAATTGCTTTTATAGTTCTCTAAAAACAGTTTTCTGTTTTCTGAATTCTTGAGAATTGTTTTCAAAGTTATAAACCAAACATGTATATCTTTCTTTATATCTCTCGCTGGTCTTTGCAACTGCAAGAATCAAAAGTTCAAAACCCATATCAGCATACGCCGCATATCACTATATCAGATTGTCTCTAGTCTCTGCAACTTCTTTTCTATCACTGATCGCAAGTTGTTCAAGTGAACTATATATGCCAATTTTTTTCTTTCTCATTGAACAAAGCATTGTTGAAAAATCATTATTTAAAAAACAAAACTATTTGTGTCATGGAATTTAATGTCCTAAACTAAAAAAATTATTTTTTACTTTAGATAAATTTTGAATTTTGTTTTTCTTATTTTTCGCATAATGGCCAAAGTTAAAACATAAATTATATATTAATTAAATACATTATATAATTAATAATTAAAAAATTTAAACGTTACGGTCTCTATAAATACATTTATGAGTAATAACTAATAATTAAACTTTTCAAACGTTCTTTCACTACAAGAAAAGTGGGTTTAATGTTAATAAAATTCTCGTAAAAAACTATTTTCAAGGAAGTTTAAAGATTAGCCACTCGTTAATAAATATATTTTTAAGGGAACTTTTTTTTTTTTTTTTTTTTTAATGGTAAAGTAAACACACACATACCTTTTTGCCCACCCCGTAGCTTGAACCCCTTCTTTTTCTTTAAATATGGGAAGGTTATACCATTGGGCCAAAGGTCCTTTGGTATTAAGGGAGTATTTTCCTCCTGTGAATATGAAAATAAAAAAGAAATTAAAAATCCCGCCCATTTATTTTTCACTCCCGCGCGAAGCTCCATTAGTCAGACAAAAGCTAGCCCACATGTACACGCGCGCGCACACACAAAATACACTCACTACCTCTTCATTCCCACAACACCTAGCTCTGAGGAAGAAGAGGAACATCAAGCTGTACTGCCCAATCTGTCCCCAAAGAAATTAGACGGTACATGATCATGAGGAAGAAGACGACATCAAGCATGTAGAATTGGTGAGCTACATCGAAGCTTCTAGCCGAAAGTAGAATCCCTACCCCAACGATTGAATCTTACCCATACTTGGTCTCCAAAAATGACCTAATCCTTTTCTTTCTTCCATTATTTCTGTTAAGGAGGCAAGATCATTTACCCCATCTAGGCTTGAAGTCGGAGAGTGGAGCGATCTCAACCAATTTCGACTCTCTAAACTTGAGGATCCAGATTTACCTTCATTCTTCAGGTAATCTGCAATCCCTCTTTCTCAAACATTTTAAGGGTTTTCTTCAATCCCTATTTCTTAAACATTTTTAGGGCTAACACATGCATATTTTTTTTCTCTGGTTTATTGTCTATTTTATTGGCTGAATTTGCTTTGGTTGTGACTGGATTTGGGTTGGGTTTTTTTTTTTTCATTTCATTATTGATTGGGTTTCGCTTTTATTTGCATTCACGTAATATATATATATATATATATATATATATATATATATATATATATCCTTCTTTGCTTGAATCGGAAATTAATTCGAAGCCTCGGTGTATCGCTCTCTTTGTTGAGCCTTCTCCCTTTTTGTGAGTGTCTAATATTTGCTTCTTAATATATGTGTTGTTACATTGTGGCACTTGATAAAATATATATAATCTTTAGTTATGACAATTATGGATTGTGACAATTTTTGGTTCAACAATTTTGTTTTGGATGGTTGGTACGACAGAAGAATGGTATGCTGATTGTCTATTTTCAGAAATACAGTAGTTTATTTTCTGTATTTTTATGTTTTTCGTAATGTGAAAAATGTATCTTTCTGTTTGTACTGAAACTTATGCATAAGCAACAAGTAACATATCCTGATGTTTAGATGGGGCTTGGGGTTTTACTCGAGTCCTCAGCCTCAGGCTCATAATGCTCATTGGAAACTATGGTGTGCTTTATGATGATTTGTACTGTTTCTAATCCCTGCTTTATGATGATTTTTTGTACTATTCCTAATCCTTCTTTAAATGTATTCACTAGAAAAAAGCTTGATCCGCTAGAGGCTTATATACCTGCTGTTATATTGTCTCAGTTGCAGTTTAAGGATTTAGGTAATGACTATTCCTTTGCTTCACCAGTTTCTTGCTTAATGGACTTCTTAATTTAGGGTTCAGTGCTGAATATGAGATGTTTTATATTATTGTATCATATTATATAGGGAGTATTTTTTTTCATTTATGACTTATGTCAATGCTTCATCATGCGTACGGGGTGCACTCAAATTACTATGTTATAGGAATTTGTATATGAGAATTTAATGATTGATAGTCACGAGGCATAATGCCCTGATTGGACTGCAAATTCATAACCTAAGTAGCCAAAGGAATGTTAACATTACCAAACACTACAAAATATGGAGGATATGGTTGGCAGTGTTAGCATGTCATATTTACTCCTACCATTGTCAGAGGAGAATAATTAGTGAATTAGCTCTTCACTTCCGTAAACAAATTTATATGATCCTTTCCTCCAAATAAACAGCTGCTATTTATCCAAATTTTTTTTTTTTTTTGTGAGTTTTTTTATGTTGAGATGATGCAGAGAAGGAGACTGTCAGTTTTTAACTTGTTTTTGTGTTCCTCACTTAAAAAATCCAATGTTTGCCTTTTTTCCCTTCAATTATTTCATGTAAGTTCCAGTATGTTACATGTGATCTCTATCACATTTTATGCAAGAGATGCAAGTTTATTTGAGATTTCTAGATAACATGAACAATTTGCTTGATCCCTTTGTTCTGTTATAGGGAAAACTCTGGAAGTTGATCAACCATAATATGTTGCCTGCCTGAGTATATTACGTTCTGGCCTGCAGCGTCCCTTCGTGTAAATATTCGTGCAGTAAGTTGATGTTTTCATGAAACTACTCTTTCCATTCTCTCCATTCGTACTTTATGGTAACAAGAGTGAAATTAAATTTTCTAATAGTCACTTGTAACTGATAGAATAGCTCTTTATGATAACTTTGGTGGATTTAAGGTGCATATTTGATCATTCATTTCAGAAAACCACATCATGATATGATACTTCATTTTTGAAGCATTTTGAGGTGCATATTTGACAGTAAGTTGATATTGGTTCTATGTAAATCGACCGAGAGTGGGGGAGAACAGGTTCATTTTTCTCAATTACTTGTTTTAAAAAATCTAAGTTATTGTTTGTTAATTAATAAACACACACGCAAGAAAATTAAAAAGTGCAATGAAATGTATAGACGGAGACACCATAGTTTTTAATATGGAAAACTAGATTGGAAGAAGGCATGGTGACTTCACTGTCTCAAGGAAAAAATATCCATTATCTCTGGAAAAGAGTATAATGAGTTCCACTCACTTTCGAAATGCTTCAAGCTTTTAACTCCAGTATATTTTAAATCACTTGCCATTTATTTACCTCTGACACCTAGTTCTCTCCATGTCCACTGCCTTCAGAATTACCAACGATACCACATTGATTCATACCAATGTAATCACCTTATGATGATCCACTTTTCTATGTGGTTGTCCAAACAAACTTACTATTAAACTTTGGATGATGTCTTTTTATTTGTTGACTGATGAATCCAACATATGATCAATGTCACATAATCTATAACTCAAGTGTGCAAAGAATAACTTAGGGCTTAAACAAAACACTTAGCTCTCAAAAAGCTTAATTTTCTTCCAATTATGCAAAACTTAATTTCAATAATGAAAAGCATGTACATATAGGTTTTGGGTCAATCATGATAGAATTATGCTTAGAAAAATATTAGAATACATCTCCCAAAGTTCCATTGAAAGCCAAGTTACAACAGTGTGTTGAATGAAAACCAGAAAACACCCAATCAAAAAAAGATCAAAAGAATTCCAAAAGAAATAAACAAATAAAAAAGAAAAAAAAAAGAGATGCACATCAAAGCAAAAAAATAAGTAAATGGGTATAAAAGAATGACCTATTTTGTAGATATTCATGAAAACAATTTTAGCCAATTTCTAGATTCTCCCAAATCTCTTTTGCAATTTCTAGACTTCACAGAAGGTTTTAGAATTATTTGAACTACTATAGATTCTCTCAAACAATAGTGGATTTAGTGTATTTTATAGGTATAATTTGAGTACATGTCTCAAGGATAAGACTCACTATCACAAGTACATCAGTTGGAGTCTTTGAGACTATATGTTTTGAATTTATTTAAATGCATCGGAAATAGTTAAATTGTTTTTTACCTACTTTACATGATTTGATGACAACACCAATCAGCTAAGCAGCCATAATATAGCAATTGTGGTCATTCGTTTAGACCAAATATTAGATTTGTCTAGTTCATTTTTTTTTATAATATAAAATTCCAATATTTGTTTAACGCACAGAGTTCATCTTTAAAGAGTTAGAAAAACATATAATTTTAGAGAATACTAATTGTTAAGAAAAAAGAGACAAGTTGAAAGATGAAAACCAAACCAATAAAGAATTATGAATATGGGCATTCAACTCGAACAAAGTAGTAAACATGAACATATCATCAGAATGTTGTTATAAGCATATGAAAAAAAAAAAAAAAAAATCTTCAAAGAAAAAAAAAATGCTATAGGGAATAATAAGGCTAAAAACTCATAAAGATATTGTCTTCATCCAACTAATTGTTTCAACATCCATAAATAATGGAAGGAAATTCATAGAGTATATTCCTGATTCAAAGAAATGATCACCCAATGGTTGAATGGAAAAATAGTGGAACGCCTGATTGTTTTCCAATGTGAACCTCACTAAGCTTTCTGTCAGTGCATGAATGATTTGGAATTTTTATGGTCTTAGAGATGGTTTCTAGAAGAAATTAGAGTTGTTGAATTTGTACATAGTAGCTGATTGTAATAGTGAGTGCTGACATTGAGTTAGTGGGCTTACGGTGCAGGAATTTGTTTTTCCACAAGGCATAGGAAGGGAATGATGTTAATTTAAATTCAATTTTGGCTCAACATTGACAATGCAACAAATAGGTCGTTATAATTAAAATGTAGGTGTTTATTTTTCTAAAAAAATTGAATAGGCAATTAAGTGACTTCCTCAAAACATGAGGCTTAAATTAGTACTTAACAAAGCTTACTTTTTATGCATCTCATTAATTACAGGTTGTAAAAATTCTATTTTCTTGTAGTGTATTCTCACCAGGATATCAAGTTCTCTAAAATAATCTTTAAAATTTTATTTCAGTCTTCAAATTCTAATCTCATTCATTCTTATTCTTATTTATTTATTTATTTATTTTTTTGCAGGTTTCACATTGATTGCAATATAGCTCCCCTTTTGGATTCAAATTTCTTTTGAGATTTTGATATGTCTATGCGATTAGCATTGATTAATATTGGATTTATAACATAAAATTTTGATATGTGCTTGAATTATCGTTTTAGATAATTTGCACATTTTAATATCTAAATTCTTAATGGAATATGTGTTTTATCTTCTATGTTTGATTATCAAATATATTTATTTTGAGTGATATGCTTGGATCTTGGTTTAGATTGTCTAGTTTATTAATATTTTAATTTACAGATTCCAAATTTCAAATAGGTGAAAACAAAATTATATTATTGTATTAGTGACAGATGTATTATTTTGTCATAATATTTAACTCTTATAGTGACAACATATTTGTCACAACATGATAGATATATTGTAACAAAATATATCTTTTGCCACAATAAAACAACATTTATAGTGACAAAATATTGTCGCTACATGGTATATATATTGCGATATTTATTGTCACAATATTTAACCTTATAGTGACAATGTATTTGTCACAACATAATATATATATTGCGGCAAATAGTTTTGTCACAATAAAATATCTTATAGCGACAACTAATTTTGTCACAACATGTCCCTATATATTGTGACGAAATTTTTTGTCACAATAAAATTAGTTATATCGACAACAATTTTGTCGCAACATGTCCCTATATATTGTGATGAAATTTTTGTCACAATAAAAGTAGCTTATACTGACAATAATTTTGTCGCAACATGTTATATATATTGTGACAAAAACTTTTGTCACAATAAAGTAACTTATAGTGACAATATTTTTGTCACAACATATGATGTATTTTGTGACAAAGTTTTGTCACAATAAAATAGTTTATAGCGACAATTTTTGTCACAAAAGATTATACATATAGTGACAAAAATTACTCTCGTCACAAAATGGTAATAAATAGCGATAAATTTCATAGGTTTGGAGGTTTTAAGGTGATAATTTTTGAATATTTTACGACAAATATTTTGTTGCAATTTTTATTCATTTTGTGACAAAAAATATTTTGTCACAATATATCTCACCTCTAGCGACAAATCAACATTTTTCACAAAAAATATATTGTGACTGGCTTCTAGCAACAAACCGGTGACAAATTTTTTTTTGTCGTGATAATCTTATCGCGACAAAATATGAACTTTTAGTGACAAATTCGTTTGTCGCCAAAGACCAAATTTGTTGTAGTGATCTAGTAACCTTTTTGGGAAAACTAGCATTTCGGTTGGCTGAAGATTGAGGTTTGGTTGGCTGACAATGGGGTTTCGGTCGGCTGGTCCTTGCTGTCGGTTGGCTGATCCTCCTTGGAGCCTTCAACTTCCAATTTTTCTTGGACAACATTCATTTACCAACTTCAGAGGGTCATATCTCACTCATTTTAAATCCAAATCAGGTCATTCTTGAGTTTAAGTTCAAGATCTTGAAGTTAGATTTCTAATGGCACCAACAAGACACAAAAACTCCAACCATAGGAAGAGTAATTACAGTTTCAGTGAGATAGGGTCACGGTAGCTCTAAATTGGAGAATGCCATTTATCTTAAATTCATATCTTTTCCGTCCGGGCTCCTAATCAAGTGATTCTTGAATCCATTTTCATTTATTTTTCGTTGTCCTTCTAATGGTATGCTTGGTAGCATCCATTTCCCCTATAAAATGACCATTTTGCCACTAGGCTCATACTCGTTCGTTTTTGAAATATTGTTTTCCGCATTTATTTTCTTTGGGTTTTGTGACCTCAGTGAGGGTCATATTGGTGCCTTGGAGGTGTGTTGTATCTCTAAAGACCGTTGTTTTTCCTTTTACTTCCGCATTATGGGTTCATTATCGGACCTACGTTCGGTTTATCATAGGATGCACTAGCCTAAAAACTAGGGCTGTCACAGGTGGTATCAGAGTTCCAAGGTTCGAAAACCTTAGGACGACGGGTTTGGGTGCATATCATGCTTTTGTTGGTGTACTTTGATTTATTTATATGCCTTTGATAACATGTTTTAGCATTATGACATGTTTACGCGTTCTTGTTAACACGCACGGTATTATGACATGTCTCTGTGCTTATATGCTTATGTGTTCAGAAAGCATCTTTGTTCGTATGCTTAACTATTTAAAGAGCTTTCTTTTGCTACTTTAGCATAACCGTATGTTACATACCTTGTCTTGCTTTATGTTTCATGCTTTCATAGTATGAGTTGCATTCGGTCATTATAGTTTGTGCTATTGTTAACTTCTTTTTTTGCATACGTTTAGTATCATGGTTGTCACGCGTGGAGAGTCTTCATGTCAGGGCGTTGAGAAGTAAGTTGATGACACCAAGTTTACGAGGGGTCCGGGAAGGCCCAGGATTCCGGTTCGTGGCATGGGTCCTAATCCACCACGAGCTTCAACGTATGAGGAACAGATCGCACAGGGAGTGGCTCTGGGAATGTCAGAGTTTATTCAGCAGATGTTTTGTTAGCATATTATAAGGATGCAGATTTTGGTACCGGTACCGGCACCAGCACCGGCACCAGTTGCTAATGAGGCATTGGATTACTTCATGAAGTTACAGAGGGTTAAAATCTACTAATTTGTTGGAAGTATGGATTCGCTTGCTTCAAAGGCATGGTTTGACTCATGGTACACAAGCTCGATAACATGGCAGTGCCTACAGATCAATTGAGAATCTCCTTGACAACCTCTATGTTCATGGGAGATACCAATATTTGGTGGAGGTCTATGACCAATATTCACAATGTGGAAGTAATGACTTGGGAGGAGTTCAGGACTTTGTTCTTCGACCGCTTCTTTCTGAGGGCTATGAGGCAAGATATGAGAGTGCAATTCACAGGTCTTTATCAGGGCATGATGAGTGTCATTGAGTATGAGACACACTTCACTTCTCTTTCCCGTTATGCACCAGAGATGGTATCTACCGATGAGCTCAGGGCAAGGAAGTATCAGGATGGGTTACATCTTAATATTAGGCCACAAATTTCAGTGTAGGATTTGAGGAACTATAGAGAGGTGGTCCAGGGGGCTATGATGGTTGAATCCTAAAGTGAATCTCAAAACAATCACAAAATTAGGATGATGTAGACCACAAGTGCAAGCAAGATATCAATCTTTCAAAAAATTTATTCCTAAATGGCATCCACAAGGCATACAAGGAGTATTGGACTCTTAAGTCAAGCAATTTTTAAATTTTAAGCAATATAGTCCCCAAAAGATCAAAATCATAGCTAACGTGGATCTCCAATCTCAATCATACATTTAAAACTTAACTTTAAGTAGAATGCAACAAAGACACCTCACCCCCAAACTTAAACCGCACATTGTCCTCAATGTGCAATAAGAACAATGGAAAAGATGGAAAGAGTATACCATGTTGGCAAAGATATGAAGCCCAGTAATGATCCATTGGGAAAAAAGGAGCACCCCCAAACTTAGAATCAATAACCTATTTGAATAATCACACTAACAAACTCATATCAAATATCAAATGGGATAAGATAAGTAAATCAAGCATTCTAAGGCAATATCGCACAAGATGTAAGAGATAAGAGAACAAGCCTTACACCAAGCATGGAAGCATGAATACACACAAGGGCACAATGGTAAAAAGTTTTTATGTTTTTTTTTTTTTTCTTCTATGAAAGTATGTACAATGAAACAAAAAGTAAGAAAAATAAGAAATAAGAATGAACATGAACATGTATGATACAAGAGATAAGACACAATATGTCATGTGGGTGCTAAGTTTAACGTCTCTAGTAAGACGGAATGCTACTTTGAAAAATTGTTTTTTTGGTGTTTTTTTTTTTTTTTTAAACATAACATGCATGTACACAAATAAAAATAAAAGATTTGTAAATAAAAATGCAAGAAGTAAAAATGCAAGAAAATAAAGAATGCAAAGAAATAATTTTTTTTTTTTTAACCACAAAAGTAACTAAATAAAATAAAAGAAAATGACAAAAGTAAAGAAAATGAAAAATAAAATAAAAGAAAAATAGAAAAAAGAAAAAGTCAAAAAGTCAAAGGAGCAAAGTTGTGATCGATCTTGACTTGGATCAATCATACCATGATCGATCTCTATGCTCGCACGATAGGACAGAGGCATGAAATTTGCAGAGCTTCGAAATTTTTTCAAAGTATGGAACTGAGATCGATCACAGGGACAATCGGATCGATCGAAGTACACTTGGAACGATCGAACAGAAAGTTCGCACGTTGGACAGAGACCTGAAATCTGCAGAGAATTGACTGCAGAACGGTTTAATCGATCGAAGGTACACTTGTGATCGATCGAACTAGCACCAAATGGCTAATTTTGAGCTGAAAGTGCATAAAATCCTATGCTAAGCCCCAATGATGGTAATAAGAATAGAGATTGAAAAATGAATGGAAGAATGTATATAAGAACAAAAAAAAAAAAAAAAAAATGAGGGAGGAATAGGGTAAAACCCTGTGCAAAACAAGTGTTTATGCCTAACACGCATGAAATCTTTAATGAAGCTCAATGGAACATATCTAAACGCTGCAAGGAGTGAAAGATAAAAAAAGAAATGGGAAAAGAATAGAGTTGAAAACTCTACGAATAATAGTGTTTAACGTCTCTAACAAAACGTTGGGTCGACTCACTAGTTGAACGAATTAAAAACCGGATATGAAACATCCTTATTGACCCTCTTTTCCATTTTCTCACTTAATGCCTCACTTACAACAATGAAATCATCCTCCAAAAGAATGACTTGAAAAGAAATGAAAGAGATAATTTCGTTACTTTCATCCATGGTCTTAAAAACAAAATCAATGATGACCGGCCTTGCACTTGGCAAGGCAAAGTCTTTTAAAGACTCAATTGGGTTAATAGGTGTAATGACCCAGACTTTTTCCTCCTTTTTCATTTTTGATGATTTTCTTTTTTTTCGTCTTTTACTCGTTTATCGTTTTTCCTCGCTTAACCTCACTTCGGGTGTTCGGATTTGATTCCGATTTTGCATGCATTCATGATACTTGATTTTCATGACATTAGTATTTTCACTTTTGTTGAAAAGCATGCTAGTTGCTTTTATTTTTCATAAAGGGCATGAATGCTTACTTTAGTGTAATTATACATAACTTTTGAGATTTTAGTGTAATTATGCAAAATTATTATTTTTCGTTTGAGGGACCTTTTTGCAATTTATTTTAGAAGATATTTTGAAAAAGGACCATTT